ACATGATTACAAGTGTATATGTTACAATATATGAATATATGTACAGGGATAGATAAACATGATTACAAGTGTATATGTTACAATATATGAATATATGTACAGGGATAGATAAACATGATTACAAGTGTATATGTTACAATATATGAATATATGTACAGGGATAGATAAACATGATTACAAGTGTATATGTAACAATATATGAATATATGTACAGGTTGCTATTAATAATCAGTAGTATGCAGATAAATAAGCATGATTACAAGTGTATATGTATGGTGGGTGTGTACATAATTACAAATGCCCATATGCAGTGGGTATGTACAGTTCAATAAGTAAACAGTTCAATGTGGTGCAGTGAATGTGCAAATTTTAAATGTGCAAATGTTAAACAGTGCAGTTATTGCGAGGAGTTTAAGTTAGAGGAGAGTGGGGGGTGTATTTGGGGGGCAAAAGAGTCAGTGGGGGGCAAAAGAGTCAGTGGGGGGCAGAGTTCAGGAGGGAGACAGCTCTGGGGAAAAAGCTGTTCCTCAGTCTGCTGGTTTTTGTCAGGGGGAGCCTGAAGCGCCTGCCGGAGGGCAGGAGAGAAAACTGTCTGTGAAAGGTGAAAGGTGTCCTTCAGAATACTGCGTGCTCGGCGCAAACAGTGTTTCTTCTGGATGTCCTCTATGGCTGGCAGTGTGGTCCCTGTGATGCGTTGGGCAGTTTTCACCACCCGCTGAAGTGCCTTACGCTCAGCAACAGAGCAGCTTCCATACCAGACTGTGACACAGTTTGTCAGGATGCTCTCTATTGTGCAGCGGTAGAAGTTCACCAAGACGGCTGATGAAAGCTGGTTCTTCTTCAGTTGCCTTAAGAAGAATAGGCGCTGGTGAGCCTTCTTGATCAGGCTGGAGGTGTTGGTGGTCCAGGAAAGGTCCTTTGAGATGTGGGTCCCCAGGAACTTAAAGGATGAGACAGGCTCAACGGCCATCCCATTGATGTGGATGGGATCATGTGAGCCTGTTCGTCCCTTTCTGAAGTCCACAATGAGCTCCTTGGTCTTGTTGGTGTTAAGGAGCAGACTATTGTCGGTGCACCAAGTGGCCAGATGCTGTATCTCCTCCCTGTAGGCCGTCTCATCATTGTTGCTGATTAGACCAATCACTGTGGTGTCATCTGCAAATTTGATGATGGTGTTAGATCTATTAACAGGCCTACAGTCAACGGTAAAAAGGGAGTAGAGGAAGGGGCTCAGCACACAGCCCTGTGGTACACCAGTGTTGAGTGTGACGGTGGTGGAGCAGATGTGACCTGATCTAACATTCTGAGGTCTGTTAGTCAGAAATCCATAATCCAGTTGCAATGACATACGATTTGGTACAGTTTGTTGTTGTTTTAGAAATAAGATTGATTACATGTTATATACATATATTATTTACATAATGCTTTCAGAGTATTATAACAGCTCGTCACCCAGTGATAAGCACAGTGATTCGGCAAAATTAACGTTAAAGTGAGTGGCGTTCATCTGACAGGTCCAATTGCAATAGCACTCTCCCAGTATTGGATAAGACGAAATTAACAAGCATCCAGCCTGAAATATACAATCTCATTGAAGCTCCAGAGAGAGAAGTTAAAGGCCTACAAGTCTTTGGATGCCAACAATGTTGTTCTGTGTGGTCATGTGCAAGAAATGATACTCCACGATTACAAAACTTTAAGTGCTAACCAAGGATTTCTTAATAATATAATTTTATAAAAGAATTATTTGCAAACTCTAAACAGCAAAATCATATTAGCAGCCAATGACTATCAAAGTACAACATTGTTCACAGTTAAATAAACAGTGATAATGTTGTTGTCAAGTCACACTTGCAGGTTATTTTAGACCGAATATTCAAAGTGCCGTGGTAAACAATATAGGGAGTGTGTCACAAGTTGTCACTGAATGAATGTGTGAATACAAAACCAAGTTTACCTTAATAAGTTACACTTTCACATTTCATTCTTAGCATTTCAGTGTTGGCAGTTTAATTCACCATTTGTACCAAAAGCTGCAATTAAAAACCAGTAATGTGTATGATTCAGCATAGCATGAACTTACCTGATATAACGTGAGAACTGCAACATCGAGCATTTCTAATTAGTTTGTCACTTCATTCAGCTCCCTTTTAGCCAAAGACGTTTGCAGTTGGCATTAAAGCAGTGTGGTGTATGATAAAAGTTAAGTTTTCTATTTTTGGAAATTTGTCATCCTACCGCACAACATGACATGTTTGCTTTTGCAGCCAGTATTTTTTTTGCAACCGGGGACCCATGTGACGTAGGTTGGTAATTCGTCTATTGACCTTATTCTAAAGTGCGAAAGTGCGCCTGTTATCGCGATTGTCTTAGAACTTCGATTCAGTCGCCTATGGGAGAAATGACTAGGAATAATAAACGGCAGAAAATGGTCAAACTGCTTGCTCTACAAACAAATGTTTGCATGACTATACAGACCAAGTAGATTATATAATATAAAAAATATCAAATTGCAACATCAAGCAGCGTAACGAGCAGTTTTTAACGTCAAAAAATGAATGGAAGTGAATGAGACCGGAAGTCTCGAGCCAAAAAGATTCAAATGGCAGCGCCCACTCGTCGGCGGAGAATAAGGTAGTCCCCCTCTCTATACTGCGGCATAAGAACGCCCACAGACCACAGGTTGAGCGCCCCCTGCTGGTATCACTAACACCACTTCCGTCAACAGCCTAGCTTTCCCATGTGGTCTACCATCCAGGTACTGACTGGGTGCAGCCCTGCTAAGCTAGCTTCAGTGGGCAACCATGTGAGAGTTGCAGAGAGCTAAACGCTGACGTACCAAGCACACTGGACACAAGTGAAGAAGTAATGATCGAAGCATAGTGGACCCAGGTGAGGAAGCCCCAAACATTTCGAGTTGCAGTGGAAACATGAAACACCAAGATAGTTACCAGAACTATGGTTTTATTTCATTTTCTTAAAGCAAAGAGTGCGTGACCCAGCCACAGTACATTATCTGTGCCAAAGTTTTTGCTAAGCAATGCATGAGGCCATCAAAATTAATGAGACATTTGCAGACGACTCATTCTCAATACAGTGACAAGCCCAGAGCATTTTTTGAGTGCAAGGTGAAAGAACTGACATACACCCAAAATTAGATGAGGGATGTCACAGCTACTGTGAAGAAACTTTTAAAATTTCATAATCTATCACAGTTGCTGGAAGAAAAATGCCAATTTTTTTTCAAATATTATAGATGAGTTATTAAAACTATTATGTTTAGAAATGTATTGAAAAAAAAAATTTCTCTGTTAAACAGAAATTGTGGAAAAAAATAAACGGGCCAAATAATTTAGAGGGTTAATAATTCTGACTTCAACTGTCCGTTGGCATATACAATTGCATGTAAGATGTATGAAATTAAAAACTTGCCACTTTTACTAAATAATTATTATAGTATTTGAAATTAAGCTATATCACGTAACAACATTTGTTAGACCTATCAAACAGTTACACTGATAGTTCATTCAAAACTGAAGACTTTGAAAAGTCATTTACTAACACTTCACCTTTTCTATACTACTTTGATTCATTTTGGCATAGTTTACCCCAAGATGAAAATTCTGTCATTATTTAATCACATTTACTTTAACTTGACTTGATTCAGATCTTTTTATATGCTGAAGAATGTTGGAAACCAGGAACCATAGACTTCCATCATGTTTGAATTTCCCACTATGGATGTCAATATTTACCGGTTTTCAACAGTCTTCAAAATATCCCTTTTTATGTTCAACAGAAAAACTTAAACTGCTCAAAATGAACAATTCCATTAACACCGCTTTCCTAAAGGGATATTCACCCTATCAATTACGCACTACTTTCCTTCAAGATTTTCCAAACCGTTATAAGCTTCTTTTTTTTTCCTGTTAAGCCAAAAAGAAGATATTTTGAAGAATGCTGGGAAATGGTAACCATTGACTTCCATGTTTTTTGTTATTCCTACAAAGAATGTCAATTGTTACCTGTTTTTATTTTTCTTTAAATTATGTTCTTGTGTGCTCAACAGAAAAAAAGAAGCTTATAAAGGTTTGGAAACTCTTGAGGGAGAGTAAACGGTGAGTAAATGTTTGGGCGAACTATCCTTTAAAGAAAGTGGAGTTAATGGAATTGTTAATGTACACCCACCAAAAAATACTATCCTGCCATATTTAATCACTCTTGACTTGTTCCAGAGCAGTTTGAGTTTTTCTGTTGAACACAAAAGGAGATATTTTGAAGAATGTTGAAAACAGGCGAACTTGGGTGTCTAGAAAGGCGCTATTTACAAAAAAAAAAAAAAAGAATTTATTTATTGTTTATTTAAGTATGTGGTTCATTCTGCTGTGGTGAATAAAAGGACTAAGCTGAAGGAAAATGAATGGATGAATAATTTAATAGCTTAATTTCGTTATATGTGTCTAGAAAGGCGCTATTTACAAAAAAAAAAAGAATTTATTTATTGTTAATTTAAGTAGGTGGTTCATTCTGCTGTGGCGAATAAAAGGACTAAGCTGAAGGAAAAATTAATGGATGAAAAATTTAATAGTTTAATTCTGTTTTATGTGCTTGCTTCTTGGTTGCTTTTAGTCATTTATTTATTTATTTTGTATTATTATTTTGTGTGTGTGTGATTTACAATTTAATTATTTTCTCCAAAACATTTCCAAAGAGTCCGGCTTGAAAACCCCTACTAGACATGTTTGGTCAGAAATACTATCTCTAGTATCAGTCGACGACGCTGTCAGTGAGAGTGCGTGGCTGTTACTCAAGACACACACCTAGCTCCCTAGCTAGACGACATTTTTAAACATCTCAACAACTGGCGAACAATTTAAACGCTGTTCAGGCGCAGAACTACCACGCAGTCTAGGTAGGATTTGAGACCTGTGTTTGAGACACGACCAGAGAGACTTCCGGTGTGTGTTGCGTGGCTGTTGTGTCTTCGCCGCTTTGATTGAGCTCAGTGAGTGTTTGCGGCAGAGGCCACAGTGGCACGCAGACAGAAGCTCGACTCGACTCTGCCGCAGAGCCCAATGAACGCCCTCATTTCAGTCTCCTGCAGACATGACAGCGCTGAAATGATGCAGTATTCACAAACCCCATCCTCACGAGACATGGACACCATCCGCAGGAGGATGTTAAAGGAGTGAATAACTGTTACGGAGAGCACTGTTTCGCACTGAAGCGGATCGTTAGCTTAGCTGGCTAGCAGATAGATTTTCAGTCCCTGCTGCTGGGTGGTGTTGCCCGAGGCCGGACATCAGCGATGGGAATCATTTTCACTAAGTTATGGAGGCTTTTCAACCACCAAGGTACGTGAGATAGAATATTTTAAAACACAATTTGGTTATGTCCTATATGTGGATATATTAGTTAGCTAACAAGTGTCTGCTAACCTGCTACTGTAGTTTCGCTTTAAAACAGCGATGCTCGCGCGTATTATGCACGACTTTAGTGATTACAAACATGTTTCATATATACATGTGTCAGAGGGAAATATTGCCTGGCATTATATTTCAAAGATTTCGAAAATGTATTAGTTAAACTGCGACTGACAGCATTCGTCTGCTGCTGTGAGACTCGGTCTCTGTTTATGGAGGATGGAGCTCTGATGTCGTTATTTTTCCCTCATTTAGCTTACAGTAAGTTACATGTCGAGTCCTGTGGGACGCTTGTATAGTTCCGATGTAAAATTTAGTAACTATACACTCCTAAAAATAAAGGTTATTTAATGTTTCCCATAAACAACACTTGACATCCATCATGGAAGCTTTTTATTCCTCACAAGGGTTTTTAACAGTGTAAAAAAGATTTTTTATTAAAGAATTCTTGTATTTAAAAAAGTTTATTTAAAGAAAGGTTTTTGAGAATGAAGATGTTCGTCTGTGGCATCATGAAGTTTTGGTTCTTGGCACTATCAATTGTGTAGTTTTCACTTTACTGTTCCACAAAACAACTTAAAATGTACTTCTTCTGAGTGTTTTTGTCATTTATCAATACAAGAACCCTAAACATATATTTGCTTTAAAAGCGAAAATACATTAATTGATCAGAACAAAGAAGTGAGAACAGATATCTTTTAAAGCACAGTGCAGAAATAGCATTTAATTAAAAGTGAAAATCTATTTATAATTCACCATTACTGCATATAATTATAATTTACCATAGCCTCATGGGATGATAGTCCTTTTCAAGGTATATTACGGTTTGGAAAAGTTAAGGTTTTGTCTGGGCTTTCCATGCACCTTTACATCTACTTTTCTTCATGTGTTCAATGTTTCCCCCTGTATCTTTTCATTGAATTGCACACAACTTATTTTCTAAACAATCTAGTTTTGTTTTATTTGTATATACGGATTACTTTGGTAAGCTACTGACATCTGGTGAAAATTCCAAGTCAGCTGCACTTTTAGAAACATGTTTTCTGAGAAAAAACGGTGATGTGTTCAATACTTATTTTGCCTGCTATATTATGCCCCTTTTCATAAGATGAAAAATAAATCTGTGTCCCCAGATTTTGTTTGTGAAGGTTCAGTTTATAATACCTCATGAATCTTATACCGGCCCTTGCCTAGAAAACAACTTATTGTTTTCATTTGGATTTCAGTGGAAGATTTTTTCTTTCTTTTAATATATTTATTTTATTCTCCTATACTATCTTTGATATTATATACTTTGTCATTGATAAACCACAGCTCATCTAAACAGGGATAGCCAGTTATCAGCATTGAGAATAGATTAACCTGCTTTAGCTTCAGTAGGTCTGAATTGAAAAGCGAAACAGCCATTGCAGCACTCTTTGCTTTTTTAAGGCAGATCATTTGTGCCTCTTTGCCCTGTGGTTGTGCAGGCTGGGCATTTTACAGCACTGTGCATCTCTGACTCTGGTGTAATCCTCAAAGCGGTGGAATTTGTGTCAGCATTACTCGTTACACACATCCATGTGATAGCCAGTGGTCTCTCATTTATTATAAATGCTGCGGGATGTCCATAAAGCATATTCTTGTTTGAAGGACTTGCACATCAGCGTGTGACGTACTGAGCGTGTGCAATCTGCAACATAACCCAGTGGAACATTTCTCTCCGTTCTCACCTTACTCATTATCTGAACAGATCATTGTGCTGGGCTTGAGCTTGGTAATGTGAGCGTTGGAGAGTGTTGTGTGCAGTCAGACACATCTCTTTTATCTATTTTTGGTTTATAGTAATAGTCTTTAGTACTAGTTCAATTCTTAAAAATAGCTGATTACAATGTTGTTTAAAGGTTTGGGGTCAGCAGTTTTTTTTCTTTCTTTAAAAGACTCGAATACTTAACAACTCAATTTATTTGATTAAAACTGTTATAGTGAAATATTTACTAATTAAAATAGTTTTTGTCTAGTTTAATATATTTTAAATATATTCCAGTACAGGCAGAGCTGAATTGTCAGCAGCCATTACTCCAGTATTCTGTGTTACATTTCGGAAATGTTTCTTATGTTAATTTGTTGCTCAAGAATCATTCTTTAGTATTATCTGTGTGTAGTATTTTGGTAAAAATTGTGTTATTTTTTCAGGATTCCCAATGAATAGACTAGGCATGGGCCGGTAAGATTCTGACGGTATGATAGCCATGGATAAAAATATCATGGTTTAACGTTTTGATTAATGTAATCAGTTAAATGGTTAGAAATATAATTGTTTATTTTTTATTTTTTAAGTTTTGCTGCATAAATGTGCAACATACTGTATATTTGTTAGCTTGCCGGGCGGTAACACGTGCAACTACAGATGTATTTGGCAGAGAAGCAGAATGAAAGGACCGAAAAGTATTTTTTTGGTCACAGTTTGACACAGACAAGATGATGCCAAGCGCTGATGGTGATTGCCTCTGTCCTGAATCTGCATCATAAACACCCTGGTCTCTTCACACAAGTGGAGATAGAATCCGCAAACTTTCTGAAATGTCCAATCAATGCTTTGCAAACAAGCCGTTCACAAGCAGGAGTGTCGAGGTTTTCTCTCCATCAGCGTTCTCTGCGGTACTCATAAATGCAAAGTTTTGATGATATAGTGTACAACCAACAAGGCATGATTTTTTCCATTTGGAAAATTACAGTTATTAATAGTTCTTATAAAAGGTTCATTTTTAAAATAGCATACTCAATGAATTAAACAAAACCATAGATTTACTCGTTTTTTTTTTTTTTTTCATAATAATAACTCCGCACTAAATTGAGGCTTTCTTTTTTTAGCTAGATTAATGATAAAACATAATTTGCAAATTAATGCATTACTAATATGTAAAAAATAAAACTATTAAATGCTCTAGTAGTAAAAGTTAAGATGTCAAAAATAGAATGGCAGTTAATTTTTTTTTATTATTAATCTGGCCGGTTAACCGTTAATAATAGGTTAACCAGCAGCGGTTATCGGTTAGGAAAATTAACAAGCATCCCTAGTTTCACGCTATTGTGGTGACAGCTCTAAAATAAGTTCTTTTTAAAGGTTGGGGTAACACAACTGAACACAATCTATTTTATTTTGAGAAACATATAAAGTACTGTGGAACAGTAAAGATGTCAGTATAAATAATTAAAACAAATCATTGACTACTTCTGTCTTCATTAGTTTCAAAAACCCAGATTTCGTTACAACTCGAAAAGGCATCTTTGGAGATCTTTCTTTTCTTTGGATTTAAAGTAAAGCCAATGCACTGTTCAGGTCTGTAACATGCTTGGATGTTGGCGCTAAAAAATCTAGCATTGCGATATATATAAATTTTTTATTTTATTTTACGATTTGAATACAGTTTCACCAGATGACTTAAATATTTCTATTTGTAAAGAATTTATAATGTTAGGTCGATTGAGATGATTCTGCAGTGGAAGTGTATCTTCAAAAAATCTAATAAACAATCTATAAACCTTTTGGGGTTCCCTGACACACTCTTGTATCTTCATTTTATTTTTGTTTTCCAACATAAACATGTGTGCATCCGCAAATCAAGAAGAATTTATTTGATCCATGATATAAAAATAATATCTTTTGAAACATTACAAACATATTTACTGCCACTTTCTTGATGCAGCCTTGCTGAAGAAAATTCACTCCAAGCATTCAAAGAAAAATCAATGTTAGTCTTTCAGCCTAAATCCACATTTTTGTTGTTGATTTCATCACACTGCATTACTGGCACACAAAAAGTGAATACATTCTTTCAAAACGATTTGTGGAAAAGGTAGACATGATAAGATATAATCACACACAGGCTGAATGATTAGAACTGAAATCCTTGCTCCGTGCATGCTTTGTATGCCTTTGATTTTCTTGCTTTTTTATTCCTGAGTTTAATGTTCTTTGTTGTGCAGGTTATGAAACTCTCGCCATGTATGAAACATCCAAACTTTGAAAATAAGATTTCTTTAAAGTTGAAACTGAAGATGTCATCCAAATCAGCTAGCTTTGTCTGTTTTAATTGTCAACTTTGTGGTGCATTATCACATTAATTAGTCATGTATTTGTTTGTTCTTTGCAAAAAAAATAAAAATAAAATTCAGAGGTATGAAAAAACTGATGCTGTAACTTCTACAAATCTTCCTAATGTCAAGCTGAAGTTGCCAGGCTGGTTTTAAATGCCGATTTATTTTTTCAGCATAACCAGAATGGTCAGACAATACACATACCTATGGTATTGCATTGTTTTTGCAAAACAGTAAAAGCTTATTTTACTCTACTGTATGTGAATGTATATAATTGTACATTCAACAAGTGAAGAAAACTCAACAAAAATATGTTTATGTTTTATGCCTAGCAACTTTTCTTTATTAAATGTAAGACATTTAGAAAGTGCTTGGATATAAGTGTATTGTTGAGACCTCCCGATGTCTTTATGAGCTCAAAGAGAGATCAGGAATCATGTGACTTCAACCGCCTCTTTATATCTGCAAGTTAACACTGCTGCATATGAATTTGATACACCCCATGTGTGTCCCATTTTGCCACATTTTTTAATACATGAGAGTACTTAGCATATATATTTTTCTTGTGAAGACAGGGAATTGAAAAAAAATGTTTTGAAGTTCTACTAAAACACATCTTTACAATACTTAACCTTTGGACGCTTTTTAAATGCTGGCTGACATGATTACATCAACCTCAGACTCTTGAGTGTCATCAGCTTTAAAGGTCGTGTTTACACCTGCCACATCAAGATGATTTTTTTTGCCAATCCAATCATGAGTGCATTTTGCTAAATACAGTTTTAAACTGGGTTTAAAATGTTCCACTCTTGTCAACTTTCATAAACTCATAATATTGGGTGGCTTTTATAGTATAAACACTCTACAGCTACAAAACACCACCTGGGGTCCGTTCTTCGTACGTGGATTACTCAGTTAGCTGGATTTGGATATTGACGATTTGACATGATCCAGGATCGTTTCGTTTTTCAAAGCTGATCCGAGAGTTGTTTTCATAGCAACAGTTCTGCTAGCTCAAACCTGATCGGAAGCAGGTTCAAATCATATAAACAGGATTAGATCGGCTCAGTGCATGCAAAGATAATAGAGAAAGTATGTACCGAATTCTGATATTTTCTTACAGTAGTTGTATACACTTGGGAAAATAGTAAATATATTTTAACTATATATATATATATATATATAAAGTTATAGTTATTAATAAAATAAATAAAGTTATATATATTAATAAAACTTATGCAATCTGCACCCCCGAAATAAAAGTACAAAGACTGCCACCTGGTGGTGCAAAGAGAAAACTTATTGATATGAACTTTTTAGATCGCTTTAGTACAAATTGTGTATGATAATAGAAATGCAGAATATGTGACTTTTGAAACAATAAATAATACATTAATACAGTTGTAAACATGTTTTGGCAGTTAATATGCCAGTGATTTGATGCTTTACAAAAGTTGCAGACGCCTTTCACAAAATCAAAATGCTTTTGTAAACATCCAGTTATTCCATAAAGTGATTAATAAACCGGCTACTATAATAAAGAAAATCTTTTCTAAATGTAGAACTAAATACATTGATATGCATTGAAATACATGATGAATACTCTTGACACAAGTGTAAAGCCTGCAGTTCACAACAAATGTGGAAAGTTTTTGCATGTCATATTTAACAAACGGTTTACTGCTAATTTGATGTAATTTTGCTTGCATGGATAATTGAATATTAATCAGATGATGTCATTACGCTGCTGTGCCGTCAGCCAATCATGGCATTGCTGATCATGATTTCGAGGATCGACAGATCTGTCCTTCACAACACACGCAGCGATCTCAGATCAGTTCATCCAGACATTCTAATCTGATTCGCGAACTTGTTTGAAGAACCAAATTAGAGAGAGGTCAGTTATCAAGATTAAAAGATCCAGCATCTGCCAAATCATCTTAGATCATTTAAGCGAGGTACGAAGAACGGACCCCTGCTCTCTGCCTACTGAACTAATGTGTATGGGAAGTGTGTGAAAAAGCACCAAAACAACGTGCACGTGAAAACATGTTGATTATTACACCATCCACATGGTTTCCATTAACTTACTTTTTTTGCTCTTTTGTAAAGCGTATGCAAATTCAATAGCAAATCCATTTCTAAATTCTATTAGCACAGACAAGTTACTTTGTATAATTGTAATGTCATTTGTTGTGTATATATAGCGCATTTATCGTGTGTGGCCTGTATATATATGTATAACTTGTGTTTATTGCATCTTTTTGTTGAGTCACTGAATACCTCTTCAATTGCAAGCCTGCTAAATTTAAATGTAAATTTCTGCATTTTTGAATCAGTTATTTAATGTTACGAATTAAATACTTGCTGTAGGTGCTCAAATGAGTTCATCAAAGCATACAGTTTATTATGTGATTGTCTTTGTTAGCGTTCAGAAAAATAGAATAATAAATTACTGCTCTAAAGGTTAGATATTTGGCTATACTGTGTTCTTAACATTGTGCTCATTAAACATCCGACAAGTGTTGCATGTTAAAGCATTCACATTTTTCTGTCTGTTTATGGCAACTAATATCATATAATAAAGGTTTCATAAAAATGTTTTACCTTTTTTTATACCCTTTTTAAAAACTTTTTTTAACCTTTTTATAAGAATTGAAATCTCAGAAATGTAATTGAATTTGGTATGAGTATGCATATAATATGGCAAAAAAAATTGCATTATCTGTTAAAAAGACGGGGCGAGGCAGTGGCACAGTAGGTAGTGCTGTAGCCTCACAGCAAGAGGGTCGCTGGTTCGAACCTCGGCTCAGTTGGTGTTTCTGTGTGAAGTTTGCATGTTCTCCCTGCCTGCGGTTTCCCCCACAGTCCAAAGACATGCGGTACAGGTGAATTGGGTTGGCTAAATTGTCCGTAGTGTGTGTGAATGTGTGTGTGGTTGTTTCCCAGAGATGGGTTGCGGCTGGAAGGGCATCCACTGCGTAAAAACCTGCTGTATAAGTTGGCGGTTCATTCCGCTGTGGTGACCCCAGATTAATAAAGGGACTAAGCCGACAAGAAAATGAATGAAGGAATGTTTAAAAGACTAATTAAGATACTGCAATACCATATTTTGCCTAAATCACCCTGCCCACAATACCTTCAAGTACTTGTGTTGCATTGAGTTCTCATGAAAAAGTGATGTCTACAGACATTACGTTTTTGTGTTGTCACATTGTACATCTTGACAAATTCGAACACAATAGCATGTTGACATAAGTGTGAACAAGTGTTCCTGACATGCATTTGAATGGGGCCAAAGTTTTGTTTTGCTGGGAAGATTATATATATATATATATATATATATATATAATTCTCTAATGAAATAGCTAAATATTGGACAAGACATTGTACATATTGATGTTTAGTGATCTGTCTCTACCTCAAGCTAAGCAAGGACAGTGGTCTAGCTAGTGTGCATACTTGTGAGTCATTCTCCAACACATGAATGGGTGTGTCTGAATGTACTTGAATACCTCATGCAGGTACTGACTCACTGCAGTGTGTTCTAGTTACAGCTTTTTCTTCATTCTGTTCAAGAGAAAAGAAGTAGTCTTTTCTCTCATTTATTCTGCATTCTCTGATTCGTTTCGCACATTAATCATTTTAAGGACGTCTTTTCATTTATGACCTTAGAATAAATATTACTACTTATATCCTACTATTTATATTACTGAGTTATCATGTTAAACAAGTGAATGATTAACTAATGTTTTTGTCTTGTCATTTTTAGCAAATATGAGTCTTAGCCAGATTTTAAATGTTTCATATTATTATTTGTGAATGCTGGTTATAGACAAATTAGAATTTCGTTTATTACAACAAAGTAAAGTGTTTTTAAAAAGTACCGTCCAAAAGAGCCCATAATGTGATTTGTATAAAACCTGTCTTTATTGGGTCCATTTTGGCATCTGGGATGCAAAAAAAAAAGAAAAAAAAGAAATGCTGACTATTTTTGCATGTAGCAGTCAGTTCAATTCCATTGAGATATTTGCATTAGCTCTACAATATGCTTGTTGTTCATTGTCATGCATGATAAATTATAGTAGCCTATGCAAAATCCTCTTGCAACTAAGCATTGTGTTCTTTTGTGGGAACTATTTGGCCACCTTTACACACCCATAGGTGTCACCACGTCATCTACTCTCTGATTCCTTTGAAGTTTTTGCAGATGCAAACAGCCCTATCCAGAGTCATTCTTCTCATGCAGTTGCTTTCAATGTAAGAGTGGTTTTTGAATGTGTTGCATGACTTAATTATCATGATGTTAAAGTCTATATAGTCCATTTCTGTTTCTTTTATTTAGTCCATTCCAAGTCAGCTGTGGATCATTTCACCTGGCCTACATTAACAAAATTGTTCATGTAAATGGGTGCATTTGACCAAAATGAGTCTTCTTAATGTCAGTTCTTTGTCAGACATGCTCTTTTGGTAACCTTTGGTGCATAATCTCTTACAGCATTGTTTGTGATTAATGTGGGAAGTAAAAAAAAAAAAGTTGTTTTAAGGACAGGAACTGGATTAGTTTCTTCTACCTCCAGCTTAAGGCAAGTTTGAAACTTATTGCTTTTTACTGCGTGGGATTGGCAGATTTCAGTTCTTCCTTTTGTAAGAAGGGCTTGACAGTCCCCTTTATGCTTGAGTTACTGTATAAAATTACGCATTGGTATGATGATGCATTTAAATACTGGTATATACACGCGTATGTGTTCTATTTATTTAACCACTGTCAAAATGAAAGGTGGTTGACTGCATTGTTTGATATGATGTGAAGTGTTTACTGAAACATTGAATTGTTTTCCTGTTTTCCCCCAGAACACAAGGTCATTATTGTTGGGCTGGACAATGCAGGAAAGACCACCATACTTTATCAGTTGTAAGTATTGCAGCTAGTCCATTCTTAATCTCAGTATAATAAAATATAGCAAATGAGTACATGTAATACATATAGTATACTGTATTGACCATTTCAATGTGGTGATGTCATTGGCCCATGAACATTTCCTGCTTATTTTTAAAATTATTTTATATTTGTAACAAGAAGTGATTTAATCACAGCTTGATGTTATACCAGCTATCATAATATTTTTTCTTAATATTTGAAACCTTTTGGACATCAAAAAACAATGAAAATTCAAAGTGTAAAACAGGAAGTTGGTGCCAGTTTTGTGCTTTTTGACTCGGATGGAAACGTTGCTTTATTCAGACGTCTTTTATGTGATATTGCATTTTTGTGCATAAAGTTAATTAGCATTTGTTGGATGGAAACATAGCTGTTGACAAACCTGAAAATATGTCATGTACCTCCTTTGCACTTAATATCAGTTAATTGTCTATATGTTAATAGCAAACAGCAAAGAGAATGGGATATGCACAAAAGGAGAAAACGCAATGAAAATAATGCCAATGCCAGAAAAAGACACCTCCATAAATTTTTCAACTTGTGGAACCAGACCGTTTATACCCACTGTAGAGTTGGTCACTCCATGATGACACACAAGTTTTTAGTACTAGGTAGGGCTGGGCGATCAATCGAAAAGTAATCGAAATTGACATTCAGAACCTATAATCGATCAAATTTTTCCAGGTCAAATTTTTTTTTTTGTTGCTTACTTTCCCTACTGAGTCACGTGACCCCGTTGAACTGAACAATGTTCAGCACTTTGTAGCCACATCTGATCTCTATGGTGTTATTTGATTGAAAAATGTCGTGAGTGAAGTATTACAAGTTAAAAACGATGCATGTAATACGAGCGTGCAAATGTCTTTGCTTAAACTCTGATTTCCTCTGTTAGTACACACAATTTTTGCGAGCTCACAAATACACTGCTTATTTATTTTCACTTTTTTTTATAAAAAAAGTGACTTGGTTTTAGGCAAATTTTTATTTTAGTTTAATTTCAGTTGTTCAATATTGATGTTCAATAAATAATCATTAACAGTAGATAGTGTGCGTTTCAATCAATTATTTTAAAATCAAGTAACTCGTCCTTCATTCAAAAAATCCCTCAATTGTACTATGTGAGCGTATTTACCGTAAAAAACCTGTCAGTGAACTATGAAGGCAAAAAATTAAATTAAATAATCGTAATAATTGAATAACAATGATTAGTTAATCGTGGTTTTCATTAGGCCAAATCGCCCAGTCCCTCATGTTCTTTTTGCAAAAGTACTTTGTCTATGAAGCGTGTTCTATTAGATTGTGCTGTGAGCATTTCTTCTATTCACTTTTCACACTGTTAAACCAAATACAGTTTTAGAGTTTTTAGCAAAAATAAATAGTAGGCATGCTCCAATTGATTGGCTGGAGATCGGTATCGGCCAACAATCACATTTTATGAATTGATCGGTAATCTGGCCGATCACATGAACCGATTGAAAGTGTCTGTTTTCAGGTTTACAAGCAAAGGAAGATCCATTTTAACTTCTTGCGCATTAAATGTGCGCTCCAAACTTTTTTTACATTGAGATATATTGAATTATTCTTCCGTCATTTGCAATCTTTCCAAATTCTATTGTCAGTCATTTCCCTTACCAAAATTTTATCTGTTTAATCTATTATTTTCTGTAAAGCAGCTTCTAACCATGACGTGTCCACGCTAAATGGTTATAAGAGATGTGTTTAAGGGATTGTATGCCACATCCTTCATTTATTCTCTTAGGAAAGTAGAGATCTCCACTCAAGTATCATAGTTAAAGGAAAAATGTGCTTTATGCAGTGTTAAAGTTATATAAAGCTTGAAGCATCTCAATTGGTACTCTGTATTGGCTGATCACCATGATAAGTAATCTGTACTCTGTATTAGCTCATAAAAAATCCTGATCGGAGAATCCCTAATAAATGAAAAAAAAAATATATATATATAATTCAACTTCACTATACATTTCTTGCCATTAAAACAGCCATAGTAGCTGGCTCTGACAAGTCACTGTTTGTCATCTCCAAACCTTTATTAACTGTTTTAGATTTTTATCTTGTGTAATAATCATTGCTGTTGATGTTTTTTTATTGTTATATATGTATATAAATTATTAGAGAAAAGTGATGAAATGTTGTAAATTTGATTTGGTTTTGAAATTGAACTAGCCAGAGAAGCTGATGGCAATAAATTCAACAATCTCTCTCTCTCTCATATCTCCAGCTCTATGAATGAGGTGGTCCACACTTCACCCACCATAGGCAGCAATGTGGAAGAGATTGTGGTGAACAATACACACTTCCTCATGTGGGACATTGGAGGACAGGAGTCGCTGCGCTCCTCATGGAACACTTACTACACCAACACAGAGGTAGATGTCCTGAGATCTCTCTGAAAGGGTGAAGGGAATGTCTCCTTAACATGTGTCTCTTGTGTGCAGTTTGTGATCGTGGTGGTGGACAGCACTGACCGAGAGAGGATCTCCGTGACCAGAGAGGAGCTCTACAGGATGTTAGCTCACGAGGCCAGTATATGTCAAAGGCATTAGTATGTTTTTTTTTTCTTGTCTGCTCAGACAACATTTGATTTCACTTCCTTATTTCTTATTATTAGGATCTGAAAAAAGCTGGTTTGTTGATATTCGCTAACAAGCAAGACGTGAAGGGCTGTTTGACTGTAGCTGAGATTTCTCAGAGTCTTCAGCTGACTTCTGTCAAAGACCATCAGTGGCACATTCAGGCATGCTGTGCCCTCACCGGAGAAGGGTAAGCTTATGAAATAAACACATGCATGTAAAGGTCCAATTATATTTTATGACAATCGACATGATATAATGCTTCACAGATTGTGTACATGTCTGCAGTTCTAGTCATGTTGCTTGATAGAAATGATGAGTCATCATATATCTGAATGTTGCTGACAAATATAGACAAGATCTTGTGTTTCCAGTTACATGACTAAGCTGAATTCTCACATCTTTATTAGTTTTAAGTAGACAATTATAAGTAGCAATAAGAAAATAAATCATATCTCAGGACATCTACCTCTGTGTTGGTGTAGTAAGTGTTCCATGAGGAGCGCAGCGACTCCTGTCCCTCATTCGTTAATGTCTCAAAATAACTTGTAATAAATGTCAAAAATATGACATTGTTTTTGCTTTAGATTTAGTTTTTTACATGATTAGGGCACAAGGAGTAGAAAGGGAGGAGAAAAGGTACAATTTTAAATGAATAAAGTTCAAATGAAGTGATATTAAAATGACAGTTTTAATTGTGATGAGACATGGCATATTACTGTATAGATAGGGATGTTATAATTCACCATGAGCCAGTTGAAAATTTATTCAAATATGTGACTGTTCAAACTGGTAGAACGAATCGTCATGCATGTTTAAACCAAGGGGGCGCTGTGTTTATAACTCGCTTTACCTGCACATCAGCTGCAAGCAAGAGGTGGAGCGGCAGACTAGAATGACAGCGGTGAGGTGCGCCAGACAAAACACAAACTGTGTGCAAATACTTAAAACTAACAAAACTTACACTATTTACACTAACAGAATAATCAGCACATCAGAAACCAAACAACAATCAAAACCATCAGCACAGTGGAAAAACTAGTCACTGAAGTCTATATGAAAAAAAAGTATTAATAAGCCAAACCGCTTGCTTGCTCCGACGAATGCTACAGAGATCACATGGTGCATCCGTGTTTTCATAGCGAAAGTGTGAAGATGTTTTTCAGACTGAAAGAGGAATCTGTTTTTACAGAAGCAGGTATTAGATTATTTTTAGCCTCTCCTTTTTAAATTAGTTCATGCATATTTAAATAATTTGCTTATTATTATTGAATATATAAAAATGTTCAAGATTATCTCTTTGTAAGTGTATCACACTGATATTTATACTAGTTAATTACACAAGTAATATTAATTATTTACCTTCATAATTACGTTCAACTCCTGTCTCAATCCTACTATATAATTAGTCATTTCATAATCAGTGTTTCATGCCAGTGGCCAGTCGCCTGGATCAGAGGGCCTATTGACCACCTCTGTACACACTGCTCTCTGCTTTAGGAAAGGCTTACCTCCCCACACCAGCCATCTCGGTCTCCAGTGAAAGACTTTGTTCATCAGTAGGGGACATTGTAAATGTGCAAAGACCTCAGCTTATGCCTAAAAATACAGAAATGCTGATATTTCCAGTTCCAGCACAATCACAGTTTTAGTTTCTTTATATTAATGTGTGCTGCATTTAAGAAAAAAAATCAAATAAAAAAAACCTTAAATTTGTTTCAAAAATTTTTGTTATATCATGAATCGTGAGATTAGTGTCATGAATTGTATCAAATCGTGAGTCAGGTCAATCATTACATCCGTATGTATAGATGCCTCAGATCAAACAGCAGCAGAGTGCCTGCTTATGTGGAAAATGTACATTTAATATTTAATAATTCAATTAGTTAAATAGTGAACATTAATATTTATTTATTTTTAAATGATTTTGATTTTTGATTATTGTATCTAAAATACATTGTTTAACTAAATGTTTTGGGCACTGCATGTTGTTAATTGTATTATTAGTTTAGTGTAGTACTATAGTAATGTACGAGTAATACGTCTCTCTATCAGTGTTGCCAGATTGGGTGGTTTTGAATTTGATATCCATTTTATTTAACAAAACATAACTGTGTGCTCCTACTCCATTCATTTAGTATTGATCAGTGCATGGGTGAAGGAAAGTTGCATCAGAATCTAACTCCCTGGACAAATCTGACTCCCCTCAGTGCATGCGCATCATGTAGCCCCTGCAGTTATTCCTCATTCACACTAACAGTGACTTTGTAGCTGCCTGACACTGGGTGGTGACCTGCTTCAAACAAAGGGGTGTGTAGGTCTACAGCACAGACAATACAACCGGCCTCTGAGCAAGCTGAGACATACCTACCTGGTCACCAACGGTCGCTGTCACTCACGTAAATGGAGGTCACTCACTCTCAAGTTGAAACAAACAGTCGCTTGTGGTGTCAATGAGGCTTTAAACACACAGTGATTTATCATGACACTTTTATCTATCTTTGTGCGTGCGGGAAGGTAGTGTTTTGATGTGATCCATTAATGTTATGGTTCTGTGACGGCTGGTGTTGGTTGCTGTATGGTTAAACTTATGACAGTTAAAGTAACTAGGTTAATTTCTATTTAAATAGATGAAAATAAATAAAATATTAATCTAATATTTGGTCTTTTTTTGTGCGTTTGGGCAAGTTTTGGACCGCTTTTTGGCTGGCATTACTGCTCTCTGTGTAGTTTACAGAAGCAACTTTTCTCCAACCCCATTCAGCACAGAAATACAGGAACATTCAATATTTTCTGTGTATTTCACAATAAAAAGTGTGAGAGGTCATTAACATTTACTGAAAGACGATAGGAATGCACCACAATTCATGTCCAAGGTCATTAGGTTCAGAGGCCTTATCCTGAATGACCGACAGAAAGCTTCCTTTGTTTGATTTACAGAAAGGAAAAAAAGGAGCATTGTTAAATGTGTCTTTTCTGCCTGCAGGCTCTGCCAGGGTCTAGAATGGATGATGTCACGGCTGCGGGTCAGATGACCTCTGACCTCAGTGTGCTCTCTCTGCGGAGGCCGGCGGACGCTCACTGTGAAGGGGACTCACCACAGCGTTTAATTTATTTCCGATTATTGAGAACTGTGAACAAACAATCTGCAACTAACTCGCTAAAGTAAGTTGGGACTCGCAGACAGCATCAATCCAGTGTTTTTCTGCACGAGTGGCCATAGCAGGGGGCGCACAGACATTGGACTAAGAGGACTTTCTTTCTCTGTGCTTGACTCTGCCTTGACTGGCCTCGCAGCTTTCCGGCTCCCTGAAATGGCGCTGTTGTCCAGTGTGAACAGTCCAGTATTTTCATTAACCCTGTGCCTGCAGCAGACTCTGACTGAGGTGGCACGGTACCATGCAAGCGGAGACTGCACTCATGTAATATACAACAAAATAAAGTGTTTTTATCTGTCATGACAGACGCTTCACACTTTACTTCTCTACAGATTTTCTCATTAGCCTTCGCGGGTTGACTTGACTTGTCACCAGTGGCAGTTCTAGTTTAAATGGGACCCTGGGCGAACCACCCCGTTTACACCCTCATCCCCCGAGAAATAAGGGTGACCCTGCGTTTTTTTATTACTCCTATTGGAAGACATGTAATTATTCTAAAATAACTACAGTAATTAGACCTAGATGTAACTGGAAGACAATGGAAAGACACAACTGGAGTGATGTGCTAAGATCACCTAAGAAATCATTTGCATGAATATTAATTATGACAATTTTATAGAATACAAAAACATGTTTTATAAAGTTATCTGTTGTCTTAGACCCAGCTCAGGGCTGAGAACTTATTAATTATTAGGCCTGGTTTATACTTCTGCGTCAAGTGATCCGCATGACCCACAGTACATGCAACGCACATAGCTGTGCATCTATTGTGCATACTTCAGCGCTAGTTGGCAGTGAGGTGTTAATGCTCCTCTGTGTCTAGTTTCTTCACTGGTGTTTTGTTTTTTCTGAACGCTTCCTTAATGAACAAGTGGTTCAAACTCGCTCATTTTGAGGCAGGAATTGGCAGACGTGCAATAACTATAACCATGAGGTTAACACAAAACAAAACTTTCCATCCAGAGCTCCTTCACTGAACTCTGCACTTGGAAACAATCACTCCATCAAGCTCGCGCAGCTCTCAGTCCCGCCCACACTCATCAGCACTACCAAGCCAGCCAATCACAGAGCTTGTGCTATGCGTTGTTGTGACGTGTAGTTACATTTTTTGCGCGTCGGTGTGCGCGTCACCGACAACCACAGCGAAGGCTACACATAGGCCACGCCATAGCATACACGTGCGCTTGACGCAGAAGTATAAATCAGCCTTTAAGTCCTACCTCCCTCACTCTTTATCCATCTTTTCTGCTTCATAGCCATGCTTAGTCCTAGTCAAAATAAGATAATCATCATATTATATGAAGTTTAGTTTTGTCTGTACAAAACTCGCTGCCGACACCTCTGTTTAAAAGGCTGGTACTCCAGTTGAACAGAGCATGAGTGCCGAGTATTTTATCAGCGTGCATGTAAACAACTGGGATCCACACCGAGAGTGTGTGTGTGTGTGAGGCGCAGGAATGTTTTTTTGCCCAGATGCGTCTTGCTTTCACCAGCATTGTTTGGTTGCTCATAAAGAATAACAAATATGCGCAAACACATGCCAAAACATGTCCCTAACGTTTTTATTCTGGGATTACCACTCTAAATTAATACACTTGCATAAAGTAAATCGTATCTTGAAGTTTTTACTGGGGCACTTTTTTTTTTTGTATTGTCTTCCTGTGTCACCCCCAGCTAGATGCTGCCCTGGGCAATTGCCTAAATCTTCCATGCCTAAATCCACCATTGCTAGTCACTGTCTGAATTTTTCATCCCAGGCTGATTAGAAATGCGTACCTCAGCCTACATTTTTGAGAAATGTAAAATACATTCCTAAGGGTGCATTTCGTTGCACGTTTCAGATGACATATCCTCTAGAGGGTGCTGTTTATGTTAACTGAAATTTTTAAATACTTTACTGAGGGTATGTTTTGTGGTATGTTTTCGATACATGTCATTTTTGTACAGGTCTCGAGAAGGCGGGTCTTGTCATACAGATCATCTAGATGAGCAAAACACTGACCTAAACCTTTTCCCTAAACCCAACAATAGTGGTTTCAAAAAAGAAAATTGCACTGCGACCACAAATTTTACATGCTTTTATCTCTTGTGGAACCTTGCTTCATGAACCAGAGTACTCTGTGTCAAAAGTACAACACTGTAAAAAGAGTGAGCAAACTGCCCGGTGCAGAAAGATTGTCCTCGTGGAAACAGATAGGTGAGGCAAACATACTCCATTACAAATCATACATATTTTAAAATAGTTTTATGGTATTTATTTAGTGTTATGCACGAAAAATACTCTTTTATTCATCTATAATATGTCCCTGTTAATATTATTAGTGTCAAAAGGAACAAAAGTTCATACTGACTCGTAGCATTTATTTTTCCTAAACCTATCTTCAAACAAGTTTGGTTTTTTTGTTGTTGTTGTTTTTGCAGTTTCACAAAAATGTCGACTGACAAAAGTATTTCCAATGAACCGGTGTTGGAATAGTCAATGTTAAAGCATTTAGCAGTGCTCAACAGCATTTCTGCTATATGGGGTGGCACATGGTTTTAAGGGGCCGCTTTTTTTTTTTAATTGTTAAAAGCATTTTTATTACTATGCTTTATTAAACTGAAAGAAGAAAAACAAACAAAATAAATATATTTTTACTGGAATAACTGCTTCAGGGTATATAAACGCTATGCAGTATTATGATATGATATGGACTTCAGCAAGCTGCATGGTGGCACAGCGGGTAGCATGCTCTTAGCAAGAAGGTTTAAGTCTCGGCTGGGTCAGTTGGCGTTGTGTGTGTGTGCGTGCGGCGTGTGTGGATGGATGGATGGATAGATGGATGGATAGATGGATCGATCCCTGGTGGAAAAATCCTGTATTCAGGGGATCAGACCAGAAAATAAAACATTTGTTTGTGTTTTGCATTTCAGTCACATTGTCATTTTAAGACTAAACCTAAAGATACAAAACAAACAAGCAGAAAAGAGTGTTTATGACCTGACTCACGAAAGAAAATGTTCACATGACCAACAGGACATGATGTCACCAGGTATAACCATAAGCATTCCCAAGCATGCTTGCTTACTTAATTCTCTGTGATGTTCTCAATTACTTTAGCTGTCCGAGACGTCTGCTTGCAGATCTTCCTTTCTTTATGAGCTGTTTCAATTCTTTTGCACATTTATAAGCTCTTCCAATTGATAAAATATATATAGCAAGTACACACAGAACATGCTTTTTTTGGATTCAGGATAAATCTTTTTTTTAACGCATTACTACAGTGTTTTTTCTTTTCTTTTTGTTTTAGCTATAAATTGTTAACATGGAGTTGTGCTGGATTTCACCACAGTGAAACAGTCTTAGACACTCATCTTTTCTACTGATCTCATGTAGAACTTCAGTGCTTAATAATCTAGAAAGCTATGTTGAATTTACCTGGTGTTGCTGTCGATTGTAAAACAAAAGAACTTCTAAAATGCAGCAGCACAATGTTTTTGCAGACTGTCTAGCTGCTAATACTCAACGACCACTTCATTTATGCGCACTTCACCTTTGATGCCCTTTTGTTCAATTCAAGATTATTTGTATAGCTCTTTTCACAATAATTATTGTTCAGGGCAGCTTTACACAAGGTCTACATTATTGCATTACAATTAATTACTAATCACTTTGGTGACGAATTACTAATAACTTTATCTGTTAAAATGAACATAACTTGCAGTAAAACAGCATATAGGAGATGTCTATGTGTAGATGCTCAATGAAGTGTATTTGTGTATTAAGTCTGTTTTTTCCTCAAAGTCCTCGATGGTTAGCATCAACTCTTTACTGGTCTTGGATCTGATCAAGTGTTGCTGCATAATCTCTAGAAGCCCCGGGATGGACATTTTTAGGTGGAAATTGAGATCAAAGAAAAGAATTGGCGTAGCTGCTGTTCATAATGTGTTTGAACTAGAGATTTTAATGTCAATGTGAAAATCTAGTGTGAAGAGGTCCTGTTTTCAGCTGACAGGAGTGTCATCGGCCTGCTCTACTTCTTCTGCTGCAGCTCACCTGCTTTAAGGTTGGACATGACGCTCTTCTGTATTAACCTGACCTCTGTATTAACAAGTGATTATTTGTGATACTGCTGCTTTCCCATCAGCTTACAGCCATTCTCATCTAACTTCTGCCATTAAAATTCTGCAGAATTGATGAATTATTTATTTTTACAGGCCATTCTCTCTTAAATCATAGACTTGGTTGTGCACAAATATCCCAGGAGATCAGCACCAAACTCATCTACAGTATACCTACAACTGAAGGCAAAATGATGAGCCCTCATGTCAAATTGTAATTCTTCTGCAACTATTCGCTATGTAATGTTTTTTCTCCCATGCTTTTTCTGTTACATACAGTCAAGCTCAAAATTATTCATACCCCTGGAAAATTCTGACTTAAATTTACTTTTTTTTGACTGGAAATGACATAGGATTCTCCCAAAAGTTAATAGTCCAATGTACAAGAGGCATTGCAATGGAAAAATGTTTCTTAGCTCTTATTTACATTTGAAGAAAATCTTCAAGTCAGAATTTGCCAATGGTATAAAGGATTTCAGACTTGACTGTGTTTTTATTTAGGCTCTGAGAGAGCCTTACTTCTTTTAGCTGGGTTGAAATTACAAATAAAGCCTGCTAAGGTCAATATTACTAGCCCCCTTTAGAAATTGTTTATTTTTTATTGGCTACAGAACAAACCACTGTTGTCCAGTGACTTGCCTAATTACCCTAGTCTAGCTTTTAAATTGCTCCTTAAACTGAATATTTAATTATCTTGCAAAATTATTAGTTAGTATGTGCTGTCATTTTGCCAAAAACAAAAGAAAGGAATAATTATCTTCTCTGTTAAACAGCACTTGGGAAATAGTTGAAAAAAGAAAAATCCCATGATGACTAATAATTCTCGTCTTCAATGGTCAAAGTGGCTAGAGAGTTTATGTTTTAAGTTCAATTTCATGAGTCAGGGTAAACAGGTTTTCTGTTGCGCAGCTTCAGTGTCTGCTTACTGCAGTGTTTAGAACTGGCGTTATCCAGAGTGAAAGGTGATGTTTTATATAAACTAGGAGTCATCCAAGGTGTTTTAATACCCATTCTCAGCTGTTCAGACCACCAAACTTTCACCAGTGACTAAACTTTATGACGCTTAGTCTTATGTCACTATTGAAGAAGAGAGCATGAGCACAGTATTGTTTTTTCAGATTCTAATATGACCTTCTAGTGCGATGTCTCCTGAAGAATCTTCAACAATTTCAGGACTCCTGAACACTCTAAAATACACATAG